GGAGGGGAGGGGCCGCAGCCAGCCCCGCCTCCCGCCCCGGGGACCCCGATGCGGAGGGGGCGGGGGTGCCTGAGCCTCGCGGCCCCCGTGCGGTGCAGCCGCATGATTGACGTGCGCGAGGCAAATCACTTAGCGGGGGGGTTGCACAAAAAGTGCCATTGAGCGTCCCCTGCAGCTGATGAGTCCTTCCTCCTCTTCCCCTGGGGTCCCCTCACAATCCCCTGCGGACAGCGCGCCTTAGGCATAGGCAGCTACACTTAGTGGCTGGCAGTGAGGCCATGGCTGCGGGACCAGTGATGGGGGGGGCAGAAATGACCTTCCCTGATCCAGCAAACCCTAATCCGGGACCAATCAGGTCCCGAGTGTGCCAGACCAAAGAGGTCAAACCTGTAGCATGGTAGGTAAGGAATTATGCGTGTTCACTGAAAGTGTGTTCTTAGATTCCATATGACAGCAGAGGTGAAGAAAAAGGATTTCAGTCAGACGGGGTTACGTCTACACTGCGGGCTTCTTGCACAAGGTCTTGCGCAGAGGCAGGTCCACACTGCCAATCAGGTCCCGAGTGTGCCAGACCAAAGAGGTCAAACCTGTAGCATGGTAGGTAAGGAATTATGCGTGTTCACTGAAAGTGTGTTCTTAGATTCCATATGACAGCAGAGGTGAAGAAAAAGGATTTCAGTCAGACGGGGTTACGTCTACACTGCGGGCTTCTTGCACAAGGTCTTGCGCAGAGGCAGGTCCACACTGCCATGTGCTTTTGCACAAGAGAAAGCTCTGATGGCCATTTTAGCTGGAGGGGTTTCTTGCACAAGAAACCCCTGTTGCCCATCCACACTGCCTTCCTGTGCAAGAGCACTTGCGCAAGAGGGCTTATTCCTCGTGGGAAGAAGAATAATTCTTGCGCAAGAAGCCCTCTGTTCTGATGCTTTACTGTAAATTTACTTGCGCAAGAACGTGTGTGCAGTGTCGATGCTCCACAAGTTTTTGCGCAAAAAGCTTGCAGTGCAGATATAGCCGAGATGTTTTTTGCGCAAAAAGCTTGCAGTGTAGACATAGCCGAGATGTTGATTCACTCATCTCTTTGCTGGATGTTAAGTTATATAAGCTAACACAATGGTTGCATATTTATATTCAAAATTATCAAAGGAACATGAACTCAATGGGGCAGCAGTACACAGGAAAGCAAGTCACAGAAGTTACACTGTTTTTAGTATAGATACTGAATGTTAGGGGTTATAAGTAGAGGGCAAGGAATACCCCTCCCCCCCTCCATCTTCCCCTCATTGTGAGCCTAAGAAATAAATAGGCAGTACAATTTGCATTCATGAAAATGGGAGGTTACTTAGGCTTGGTTGAAAACGCAACAGGAAGACATCTGGGGTGAGAAACTGCTTTGGACTGGAGGTTTGCCTGTTCAGCTAAGTTTAGTCTCTAGAAAGCATGTTATGATTTTGTATGTAAGCTTTTTGTTTTAAAAAAAAACCTTAAAAAACAACAAAGGTCCTGTAGCACCTGAGGGTACATCTACACTTGCCCCCTACTTTGAAGTAGGGAGGCAAATGAAGGCGACCGAAGTTGCAAATCAAGCGCAGGATTTAAATATCCCGTGCTTGATTAGCATAGTTGCGTCTGGTCGCCATGTTGGAAATTGACTAGCCCGAATTAACTCGCCGTGTGTAGACGCGGTACTCCAAGGGAAAACCCCGAACTTCAAATTAACTGTACTTCTCATTGTACTTCGAAGAAGGGGGCAAGTGTAGACGTACCTTTAGAGACTAACAAAAAATATATAAATAGTATTATGAGCTTTCATGAGCACAATCCACTTCTCAGTGATACTATTTGTATGTTTGTGTTAGTTCCTAAGGTGCCACAGGACTATTGTTTTTAAAGTTTTTTTAATTACAGACTAACACGGCTACTCCTCTGAACACTTTGTTTCTATTATCCTTAGTCACTAATTATTGAATCTTGGATAGTAAACTTATTCCTGTTTTCACTATAATTATAGCTCAGGATTGCAGTTTTAAATGAGGTGCTGATCTTGAGTCTTATTCACGCTGGTGACAGGGGGGTAACAAAATGTCTTACCGTCCTGGGCACCCTCAGAATTGCTATACCTCAGACAAGACACTTCACCCTTGTGCCTCTGTTCTCTGTAAATCAGGGCTAATATTACTTACCTCCCTTTGTAAAGAACTATATACAAATGTTCTACTTAAGAGATAGACACTATTACTGTAGTGTCTGAGAGCTGGATTCACAAGGGGGACATAGGCATCTAATTGCTCCTTTGGGCACCCAAGTTCAACATCCAGGGCTGTTTCTAGAGGGGCACGGGGCCTGGGACAACTTTTCCACATCACAGGCCCTGCATCTACCCCATCTCTGCTACAGTCCTGCTCTGCCCCCACCCCACCCCTTCTCCAAGCTCT